ACCGCGTCCGACACAGGGACGCGAAGGTCTTCCACCTGTGTGGGTAGATATTGCGGATCATAATACACTCGTTGAGAGTTCACATCCATGCACAAAGCGAAATCTGCGCAGCAGTAGTTTCCCGCATCAGACATGAATTACGCTTAATTATGAGGGGGTGTATGGCGATAGTGATGGTGGCAGCTGTTGTTTGATGGTACTGATGATGAAGATGACGACGACAATGATGATGTTCAGCATGATGTGAAAGATGATCCGATTGTCGACTCGCGTCGCCGTCTAGAGCACAACATCATGAACAGTATCACCGGCAGCAGGAACAACTACGAACAAGTCCAACCAAAGCCTCAGCTGGGGGGGGGTGCACAGCCCACAACGAAACTACAGGGGCGGGGCGGGGAAGGGCACCACCACAGGCCCCACCCCACAGGGGGGGTGTGGCAGCCCTGCATCATATATGCAAACCCACCCTGCCGACATTGGTACCGAAGGGCCCTCAACCGACAATTCCGTAGCCAAGCTTCGGACACCGTCAGACAGGCGTCTCCATGCACCAAGGCAGAAGTCGCGAAACTCCACTGCCACTTTGGACAATCCCCCGCCACGTATGGAACAGCTTTCACCTCCTTGGATCTGAAGCTTCCAAGCAGGTACACCCCTTTAGGTCCCACAAGAAAATGAGATGCTTGGGCTTGGGCCGAGCTTCCTGGCCCTGGAAAGCCAAGCAGTGCATCTTGAAGAGAGGCCAGTAAGTCCACAAAGCTACCGCAGCCGGTTGCACCTTCGCCCAAACTTGGTTCTGCTGTTCGTTGCATCTGTAGAAGTTCACCTGCTCGGAGAGAAAAAATGCACCCGCATCCCAGTCCAAGCAAAGAGAATCCTGCATTTCAAGATGAATAGTGCCGTCTGGGCGGAAAGCCATACGCTGTTCCTGAAGGCCAGTGCAGTCCTGAAGCGCGGCATCCAGCGCCAAAGACTCGTCGCGGAGGGTCTGATTGAGTTCATTCTGTCCAAGGGCTTTCGGTTTTGCCACTGCCGTCACACACTTGTCATCAAAAAGCTTCAGCTGACCGTCTTCAAACGTGAAGCGCTGCCTGTCCTTACCATTGCATTTGTCAGCAACCAGCCCAATGTCTGGGTGGTACGGTCTGAGGCACGCGTACTCAACTTCACCCTCCGAGGATGGCCGTGAAGTTTGCAGCATGAACTTCTCTGCGGTCGTCGTGCTAGTTTTCGTTGTTGTGGTCGTGCTGGTGCTAGTGGTGGTTGTGGTTGTCGTGCTGGTCGTGGTGGTCGTGGTGGTCGTGGTGGTCGTGGTGGTCGTGCTGGTCGTGCTGGTCGTGGTGGTCGGTAGTAGTGGTGCCAGTTGTTGTAGCACATGGATCGGGGGCTTGGAAGTCATGACAAGTCGCCTCAGGCTTAATACCACAGTCGTAGAGCCTGCCGGCATGGCAATACATCACTTTGGTTGGAGCCAAAGGCCAGCGCACCACATAAACGCACTCATAGTCTTTCGCAAATGTGAAGGGGAAGAACCAACATCCGCCGCCACGCTCTCTGCCTCTGTTTGATTTACAGAGAACTGCGGCATCGTGCTCCAAGCTTGCAGGATGTTGCTCTCTTCACAATCTCCCGTGCTGCATGTGGGCTCGCTGACTACGACAGCGAAAACGCATGATGCCAAAGCCCACGCACCTCAGCTGAGATTTCCCTGGTTGCTTGGGGTAAAGTAAAAAAAACTCTACAAGGCTGCAAAGGCTGGACAAGTTTAAGGTTCCGGGATCCAATGTGCAACTATTCTAGCGGCATCCTATGACTATGACACTCCCAAGACAAATGTCAGAAGAGCGTCGGAACATCACACGACGAGTCGGGATCTGCGGGCCCTTATTCTCTGCAGCCGAAATGGCTGCGAGACTCAACGGCTGTTGTGCAATAACCTCACGCCTGTTGCCACAAGAACTAAACTTGTATTCACTGAAACTTATAAGCAATGGGGCTTCAAATGATGCTTAGGCACTAACTGCCTGGGGCCAACCAATCTGCAGCAAAGTGTGCTTGAATGCGACAGGACCGTAGACCTAGGCCGAAGACGCAAAGACCGTGAACCCTGAAAGAACCCTCTTCGTAGTACCCTTGTAGTACAGCTTGCCATCGTACCCGTAAAGTAGTGCCCGTGTTGAAGCAGGGTCTCACCTGGGCTCGAGGGTTCAGGATGTGGCACTCGGACTTCACGATTCAGCTGGATCCCACAGATCTTGACGGTGACCTCGGTTCGAACTCCCGGCTGTGGCTTACCTCTGTGCCTGAACGACTACCCGTCCGAGCGGTTCCGTACCTTCTCCTTACAGCTTGCTGGAAGCACCGAAGCTTTGCACCCCCTTCCACATAGACGTAAGACTCCAAGAATTGAATAAGCCCGCAACGCTTGAAGATCCACTGCAATTCATTTCCAGATCCAGGACCCTCGACTACTACTACGACTCCTCTTCCTCCTCCTCACGCTCCTCCTCCTCGTCCTGCTGCTCTTGCTTCCACAGAGATTCTGAATCTAGCAATTCTAGCTTCTAGCCAGGCCATGTGTCATCCTTCACCCAGCACCCAATCCAGTTCGCTTGGTTGATTCTCGACTCCCCCTCATCCTTTCAAACCTTTCAACCGCTTCTCAAGAGAGGTCCCTCTCACCGCTCGGGTCGCGGCAGCCTGGTGTCCTGGATCAGCCGATGTGTTTGCCTTCAGGCTCTACAGGTAAGTATCTTTAGGAGCCTGGGGATTTGAGGCTCGCACATCGGGGGTTTAGACTGATTGCTTTTTGCCGGTCGGCATAGCTAGGCCAGGGAGTCGCAACGGCACCAGGTCGTAGTCACAGTCTCTGTTTAGGGGACATCTGCTGCGCCTGAAGGGATGTTTGGCTTGTTGGGCACCGGCCTCCTGTCGGGTCAGCATGCCCTTCGGCTTCTTCAACAACCAGATTTCACCCGACAGTGGCAGAGGTCAAGATTCCATGCCTTAAGCCCATGAGAGCTAGTCCGACTGAGCTCTCCACCCAGCACTGCATCGTTGGTTGTGGACAAAAAAGACTCTCCAGCCACCTGCAAACTTCTCTAAGCGTGCACGGCATTGCTCAAGCTAATGACACTCACCACCTCCACCAAGGCTCTTAGCAAGCTCCACCCCGTCACGACCGGCAAGAAAGCACAGCATCACGTCATCACGCTTGAATGGAACTGCCGGAAAAGCCATGCTAAACTCCCACATTGCCTGGCTCGAGGACCCGAAAATCCGAGCAGCCTTGAAGTTCTAGACTGTCAACATACTTGAAACCGCAAACGCCCGAAATCTCCACAGGCATAGCAACCTTAATCTCAAACAGCACCTCAAACCCTTAAACCCCAAACCCCGTCGGCGCCCGAAGCGTAGAAGCAACTCTGGCTCGCCGCCGTAGACAGGCTTCAGGCCTCGCTCTGAAGGTCTTCATCAGGTTCGGGGTTTAGCGGTTTAGGCCTTTAGGGCTCAGGGCTTCAGGGTTTAGGGCTTTAGGGTTTAGGGCTTTAGGGTTTAGGGCTATAGGGTTAGGGCTTTAGTGTTTAGGGCTCTAGCGGTTTAGGGCTTTAGGGTTTAGGGTTGAAGGCCTCAGGGCCGGTTTAGGGCTTCATTGTCGCAGCGTTTTGGGCAAGCTGTGCAGGACCTAGGGTTGTGCGTTTTCGAGTTTGTGGGACTTGTCAACTCGAACCCCAGACTCGGCAGGACACAGACATCTACGGAACATGATAGGAAGCTGGAGTGACATGAGCAGGAAATTCCCATTTCTCAGCATGAGACATTGACATCATTTCGAGCATTCTTCTCACAGTCCCTGAACCGAATCTATACTCGATTGTCAGAACATGAGGAACCTCTCTAATGTATGCTTTGAAGAATAAGGTCAGGAGGATCTCTCTGATTGAGGTACCCCCTGATGTTTCACTGGAAAATTCCAAACCGTGTCTGAGCTTGAAGAGCATCACCTGAGGGCTTGGCCGACACACAAGGGTTGACTCGGCCGGATGCGACAAGTGACGCCATCGAGCGCCGCCAGCTCCTTCAAAAGCACGTTGAGCTTGGGCCCAGGCTTTCGGTGGCATGACATCAAAGTACTCAGTTTTTGAAGCTGTAGGTGAGGATGGTCTGCGAAAGATTGGCTGAAGCGCGCAGGAGCTACAAGCAATGCCACAGTCAGAGGGCCGGTGCAAGTGGTCGGGCACCCCAAAAGCGTCGATGCCAGGGTCAGGCCCCTCCGACATCACGAGTGACTCTGTGAGAGTACATACAACTTCGGGTTGAGGAGGCTGATTCGGTCCGGCTCCCATATTTGGGTGACCTGGTGGTGGGCGCCTTCCGTGTCCCAGGAGGGGAGCCCTCCCTGTGCCTCCGAGTCTCGTGGCAGCTTTGTGATCTGGGCCAAGACCTGAACAGGAGAGAATATAATATACTATGATTACTATGATTACTACACTGTATTATAGTATTTATTTCATTATATTAGTATAGTATACGATAATATGCTGTTATCGTGTACTATGACGTAGTACTAGAGCTTTTCAGACTTCTTAGGGTCATATCCACAGCTGCGCATGGCTGCGCAAGAATTCTGTATCGGAACAGGAATGTGCTGTGAACATGCATCGCCACGTCAGATTGAGCTGGAAGGCCTGCCTTATCAGAGCCTGTGCTGTCAAGATGCCGAGAGTTCGTGCTGTGCCTGGCGTGGAAGAACAGCACGGTATACCTCGGCACTTAGATTGAAGCATGCCTCGCGCTTGCCCGTCTTGCCGTCTGAAGACATTCTCGCTATGTTGGCATGTGTACCGTCTTGCCGTGCCGGCAACGGTTGACACGGAGTGGGGGGTGCGAGAAAGCGGCCAAGTACGAACACGGGTCTAATATGATGCAATCACAAAACGCGCAAACCAACAAATGTAAGTAAACAGAAACAGACACGTAGAAGCACATCAACAAACCCAGTTCGAACGAACAACGGACAGAGATTAAACGAACACGTGAATGACACACAACTAAACATTGGTTGCTTATCTTGTGCCTACGCCTGCGTGTACACGTACCTTCATCCGTACATGCACAATCAATCTACCAGCCGCGTGTATGTAGTACACACGTACTCCGACCCAAAACCCAGAACAAGCTTCGTGCACATGCACGCACAGAAACACAGAGCTCCGTAGTGTTTGTCTCTACGCTAAGCCTTTATAAGCCTTATGAGAATGAACTCTCACAGATTCTCACAGAGTAACCCCCACAAGTGATAGAAATCCCAAAACAACCCATCAAGCTTGCGCTGATTCGTAAAAGCCCCTACTAATTCTTGACACAACTGAAAGGATGTTGAGGGTATTCTAAATCCAGATTCTTCCCACAATCACTACATCCACCAAACCCCCACATCCAGCTAAACATCAACTCCTGCATCATGATCCTTAGGCCCGAAAAGTCTTTGCAGCCGAAGTTTCTGGCTCCGGATTCGTTGGATCGCCTGTGGCCAGCCTCGGCCGTGGGTGTTCCAGCACTGCCACGCGCAGCGCAGGTTTCGAAGCTTCTTCAATCTTCACCTCTCGGGCCTTTGGGATTCGATGGTCGCAGATCACAAGCACTTAAGCGGCAACGTATTGAGATTTATGCCACGAATGCGAATGGCTGTACCACTGCAGGGTCACAAGTACAGCTTATAGTCACGCCACTGTCACACAACAGTCTGTCTGAAGGCTGAACCATGAACACAAAGCCTAAAAGACAAACGAGTTTCCTTTTTCCTGTAAACTACCTGCCACAAAAACTCACCCTGCCTGACAGCGCACAGTCCTGCACTTCAACCACGACATCCTTGGGTGCTTTGGGCTGGCAGGGTTTCATTGTAAGAGTCCTACGAGGTTTGACGGGATTTCAGAAGGGTTGTTACTTCTGAAGGCTCTAAGGACTTTTCCTGATTATTTAGTTTTACGGACAGCCGAGTTTCGCTCAATTTGTACAGTAATGTGTTTTCGACGCTCGCACTCGCACGAAGCAGGCACGGCTCCAAAAAAAATCAAAGGGATATTGGGCCGG